GACTCTGGTAAGCAAGTGTCTCCCTGGCATGACTTCAGGCGCCAGCGTAGCGAGAAAGGCATTTACTTAGTTTCGACAGTGTTTCCTTGGCAGCCCCGCGCCCCAACGACGGCGGCACGTCGCCCCGTTTTGTCACCACGAGCTGACGGCCGAGACACTGTGAAATCCAGCTGGGAGAAATCCACCCCTGTAATTGAAATGAGTTCACCTGGGAGACAGCTGCTCGGCGGCGCCTGTTAGCTGTCACAGTCCGCGCCCACCAGCCTGCACGTGTGTTGGTGGCAATGAGCGAACCCCCCTGAGCAGGTATTATCTGGCCCGAGACACCTTTTATTTGTAGTTGGGAGGTGGGGGAAGAAAAATGAGCAAACATGCCTGGAGTATTCCAGATGTGTGGCCTTTAAGGATGTCAAGAACCGAGCGTAGAGGTGGTAAATAGGAGAGAGGATGGAGCAGGAAACACTGAGCAGTGGTTCACCTGCGGGGACAAAATCCACGCTGCTTCAGGATGGCGCTCACATCTGTGGAAGAGTTTAATGCCCACTAGCTCAAATGTCWAACAATAAGTGTTGATATTTAAAATAAAATATGGGGAATTTGTGTCCGAATGCCCTTTAATGTTATATCCTCAAGTGACACTTTCTAATTAGGGTAGCTCATTTAATAATAAGTTGTCTTAACAGAACACACAGCCCTCGGGACTGGCCACACACATGTTTTATTACAATGGTCATGATTATGATTATTTCAATACAAGTTTGAATGAAAGAAAATGAAAATTAATCATAATGGTAATAGAATAGAATAGAATAGAATAGAATAGAATAGAATAGAATAGATGTCTTTTGCTCACTCGACATGTAATATACTGAAATATACAAAACAACACATCAAGCACAACTCTAAAAACCTATAAAAACGCATAAAACAAATTCATAAAAGCATTTATTAAAATAAWTTCAAATATGAGATTTAAAATACATCCAAGAACATCTCAGTCAGATATACATGCTATCGCTTAGTTTGATTTAGAATGGTGATGGCGCTTGGGACAAAGGATATTTTAAAAAATACTTTTTGCCAGAGGAACTCTAAATCGTCTCCCAGACTATAAAAGCTCAAATTGACTAAAAAGAGGGTGCGAACTATCTGCAGTCGTTTTCTTAGCTTTCCTCCTTGTCCTGTCAGTGTAAAGGTGGATCACAAACGTTAAAGGTTTTCCCATTATTTTATTTGCCATTGTCACAATTTTATTTAATTTGCTCCTGCATTTGCAGTTTAGGTAGCCAGACCATGCAGAGAGGTGAAATGTTAAGACACTGAAATGTGTCTTAAATGAAATGTTACCACTGAAATGTGGGGAAATCTTAATTACACTTAAATGTAAGGCAGTTTTGTTTGTGCATTTTATTCCACTTGTACAAATAAAATAATAACATAAGAGTWTGTAAATAAGAAGTCAACAAAGGCTTTCAGTTTGACTCACACACGCCGACTCATGGAGTTTTATTTTAATCCCTTTAAAATACCCAAACTCCATGAAAACTCACCATAAAAGTTTGCTTTTCTGCCATTGTGCCAATTTTCATTGTTTTATTTTTATTTTTTTACGAGTAAAATGACCAAGCCAGTCTAGTAAAACTCTAATTTTCTTATTGTTAATCTATTTACCAGTTTTATGTTTATTTTTTCGGTGCCACTTGTATAAAAATTTAGTTTGGTCTTAAAATAGCCCAGATGTTTTGCAAAAGCGGTAAATGACGTAGTGCAGCAAAACTCCCACTGATCCAGGAAGCAAATAACGTGACAAAAAATTTATTGTCGTTTTTTTAAACATGCTGAAAATACAGCAGGTAAAATAAGTATTGAACACGTCACCATTTTTCTCAGTAAATATATTACTAGAGGTGCTAATGACATGAAATTTTCACCAGATGTCGGTAACAACCCAAGTGATCCATACATACAAAGAAATCAAACCATAAATGTCCAGAAATGAAGTTATTTGTAATAATGTGGAATGGCACAGGGAAAAAGTATTGAACACACTTACTGAAATTTATCTAATACTTTGTACAAAAGCCTTTGTTGTCAATGACAGCTTCAAGACGCCTCCTGTATGGAGAAACTAGTGGCATGYATTGCTCAGGTGTGATTTTGGCCCATTCTTCCACACAAACAGTCTTCAAATCTTGAAGGTTTCGTGGACCTCTTCTATGAACTCTGATCTTTAGTTCTTTCCATAGATTTTCTGTTGGATTCAGGTCAGGTGATTGGCTGGGCCATTCCAGCAGCTTTAGTTTCTTTCTCTGAAACCAACTGAGAGTTTCTTTGGCTTTGTGTTTGGGCTCATTGTCTTGCTGAAATGTCCAGCCACGTTTCATCTTCATCATCCTGGTAGATGGAAGCAGATTTTTATCAAGAATGTCTCTGTACATTTTTCCACTCATCCTTCATTCAATTATTTGAAGTTTGCCAGTACCATATGCTGAAAAACAGCCCCACACCATGATGTTCCCACCTCCAAACTTCACTGTTGGTATGGTGTTTTTGGGCTGATGTGCAGTGYCATTTGACCTCCAAACATGATGTGTATTCTGGCATCCAAACAGTTCAATGTTGGTCTCATCTGACCAGACTATATTCTCCCAGTATTWCACAGGCTTGTTTAAATGTTGTGCAGCAAACTTTAAAGGAGCTTCAACATGCTGTTTCTTCAGCAGTGGAGTCTTGCGTGGTGAGCGTGCATACAGGCCATGGTGGTTCAGTGCATTACTTATTGTTTTCTTTGAAACAATCGTACCTGCTAATTCCAGGTCTTTCTGAAGCTCTCCACAAGTGGTCCTTGGCTCTTGGACAACTCTTCTGATAATTCTTTTCACTCCTCTGTCAGAAATCTTGTGAGGAGCACCTGGTCGTGGTCGGTTTATGGTGAAATGATGTTCTTTCCACTTCTGAATTATGGCCCCAACAGTGCTCACTGGAACCTTCAGAAGTTTAGACATTCTTCTGTAACCGATGCCATCATTATGCTTTGCAACAATAAGGTTGTGAAGGTCTTGAGAGAGCTCTTTACTTTTACCCATCATCAGATGTTTCTTGTGTGATACCTGGCCATCATTTGGGACTGAACCAGCTGATATTAACTTGCACTGACAAGGGGCAGGCTTGCTTTCTAATTACTGAGAGAGTTCAGCTGGTGTCTTGGCTTTCCATGCCTTTTTACACCTCCCTTTCTTCATGTGTTCAATACTTTTTCCCTGTGCCATTCCACATTATTACAAATAACTTCATTTCTGGACATTTATGGTTTGATTTCTTTGTATGTATGGATCACTTGGGTTGTTACCGACATCTGGTGAAAATTTCATGTCATTAGCACCTCTAGTAATATATTTACTGAGAAAAATGGTGACGTGTTCAATACTTATTTTACCCGCAGTAAAACATGTTTTCAGGCTGTTTATTTTTAGTCTGGAGACACGCATCACCAGAGAGTTTGTGTTTTATAATGATGTTGCACATAATTCGTGTTTGCTCTTATTTTCTTAAATGTATGAATGAGCAACTAAAATGCTAACAACAGCAAGGGAAGGAACTGTATCTTGTGCATTAAATGAATAGAAGGAATATGGCCTCAAATAACAAATCATCCATCTGTTTGAGTGAAGATCTTCTATTGATGAGAAGCATCAGGAGGGAAGCGCTGACAGACAGTGGACGCTCCAAGTGGATTTCTGTACAGATGTCAGCCTGTAGGATCAACAACAAGCTGTTCTTTGGCTCAGGCAAAGACGCAACTTGTACCATGAATTTCTGTTTTACTCCAAGTTGGACAGCTGAGTGCATTCTGCTCTCTTTGGCTTGGAGCGCCAAGTGATTACACTCAAACAGGCCAACATGTCTCATTTGCTGGATCCATTTGGTCTAAGCACTATTATTTTAAACAGGCAACTTTCAACGGTGCCATCCAAAGACGAGAGGGAAAAAAAATCTCAGTGCCTGTAATATAGGCCACATCAAYGCTCGCTCTCTTCTTGCAAAGAAGATAATTGTTCTTTCTCACACTTAGTTAATAACAGAGACAGTGTGTTAAAAAAAATCAGAGCAAGTCAATGGGCTGATGCATCTTTTTTCTCATAGATGTGCAGACATTGACTGTCATCTGCTGAAAAGAGGATCTAAGTGTCTCAGCGTGTCTGGCTGACTGCCTTCTGAGACAGCCTCTCCATCAATCAACCTCTGTCTCTGTTGTGTCTTTATTTTTATCACAYTGCCTCTTTTTATTGCTACTCACAACTTGTGTTTCACAGAAAAACACACGCACAAAAAAAAAGATGTTTTTAAAACCAATTTCCCGTTGCAGTTAGATCAGAGTAAAATAGACAGAGACAGACGTTCTGTTAACTAGCTTCCCACTCCCCCTCATTTTTCTTGGCAGATGTGCGAACCAGTTTTAAGTGTTCCACTGCACGAGCGATTGRCATTCATATGATTAAAGACCCGCAATCAGATCACTGTGGAGCTGTAAATGCAAAATKAAAAGGGAACAACACTGTAAATAGGTTTGCTTCTGTATTATTTGTGATGTCGCACTTTTAAAAAATAATAATCTTTTTTTTTTGCTCCAGTGCTTGTTTGGCCAACTTTAATAATCTTGGTATTTCTAGGTGCCTCTGTTGTGAATAAAGGGATTAACTCTTGATAAAAGGTGGATACTGCACTTGCTTAATAAAGGCCTGTCTTAAATTAGAGTAAAAAGGTCAAAATACAGAAATGCAGGTAAAAATTAGGGAACTAGTTTCCTTGAAAGAATACATATCACCCATCACTTTTAATAYCAGAGGTTCCAACGCCTCTCATGTAATGTTGTGAGGTGTCATGCTCAGACTATATGTTGTGAATGACTCTCAGCTAACACCACAGTAGTGGTGCTGTATAAATGAATAAACTGAATTGTGGCTTTTGCTTCTTTTTTATTTTACTTTATTTTTTACCAGTGAGACATCATGACGACCCTGCTGGACTTAAAGAGTAGTGTGCTGAGACAGGTTCAGAGGAGCCAGTCTCTGAGAAGCCGGAGGGAGCCTCCGCCTCCCACCCCCAGCAGCCCCCTCACACACTGTCCTGAGCCCTTACCTCACAGGTGAGTCAACAGTGTGCACGTTCACATAACTCCATGTCCTCAGAAATGACTATGATCAAGTTATTTTCACTGGTCCATTGGATATGATGCTCATTTTATTTACCATTTTATAAATTGTTTAAAGTGTGGTTCAGCTTCTGTAAAATATTCTGTTGTCATTTATTATTTCCCTGAAAAAATAACACATTACTTACTTAATTATTTGCTTACTTACTTGCATATACTTACTTGCTTGCTTACTTACTTGCATATACTTACTTGCTTGCTTACTTACTTGCTTATTTACTTGCTTACTTACTTGCTTGCTTACTTACATATTACATGGTTGCTTGCTTACTTACTTGCTTACTTACATATTACGTGATTGCTTGCTTACTTACTTGCTTACTTACATATTACGTGATTGCTTGCTTACTTACT